AGTGTGCCGGCAGCACGCGCACGCCGTGCTAGCACTGCTCAGAGTGAGCACTACGTCACTAGCCTTTGAGCGTGCTTTCCTCTCACAGCAAGTCCCGCCTTCGGATCTGAGTTGCTCTTTTTGGCCCACCGTAGCTACTTCTGCCTCTGCTGCTGCCGCTGCCGCCGCTGCTCGGGCTTAGCAGCTGCCAAAACAACATGAAAAGTGCTGCTGCTGTCGTTGCTGCTGCTACGGCTACGCAAGGCTTCACAGAAGAACGCGCTTGCCAACGCTTGGATGGAAAGTGTGTGCTTATGTTGTGGAGAAGAAGGAAGACACCAGGTCAACGACGACGACGAAGACAGCAGCAACAACAAACAGCAGATGAATGATACTCCACGCTGACCAGTACTTTCACCCTCAACACCTCAACTACCAGAGAATCTTCTTCTGACGACACTAGCAACAGAAAACAGCAACCGCAGCACAACTTACTTCACACACCGTTTCCCCATTTCATCACCTGCCTCTTTTAGACAGGCACGCAGCGCTATGGTGAGTGTTCTACTTCTTCTTCTTCTTCTCCGGGAGTTCTAAATCATCTTGATACTAACCGACATTTACCTCATTCTTTACCCTAGGCTGCACCCGCCGAGGAGCCGGTGGTCCTGCCCATTGGCACCGAGGTGAGCGCCAAGTACAAGGGCGCCTTCTGCGAGGCGAAGATCAAGAAGGTGGAGCAGGTGGTGAAGTGCGGCGTCCGCCTGCGGAGCAACGGCCAGACGGTGACCATTCCCGAGACCGACCTGCAGGGTGGCTCGCGCAAGGTGGGCGGCGTGGTGGCCATCGTCCGGGGCGGCTCCTCTGGATCGGCCACGGCCGAAGAACGAACCGCCGCGTCCGCCTTGGACCGCAAGCACGACGGCGAGGAGGGCATCATCACCAAGATCCTCGACCAGTCGCTCTACACCGTCGTCTTTGACGATGGCGACGAGAGGACGCTCAAGCGGACGTCACTTTGCCTCAAGTCAGGTAGGATTAGCTTTTGTTGCTTTTGGTTGTTCTATTTGGGAACTTGCTAACTGATTTCTCTTTTCTCAGGTAAACACTTTGCCGAAAGCGACACGCTGGACAAGCTGCCGCTGACGCACCCCGAACACTTTGGCAACCCGGTCAATTTGGGCCGCAGTAGGCGGCGACGGCACGCCTCCTCGCTGGTGGCCAGCACCTCAAAGCAGGGCTCATCGTCGGCCACAAACAACGCTTCCACCAGCACCTCGGCCAGCACCAGCAGCAGCTCACAGCAGAAGCAGCTGCCTGCTGATTCAGGCTCGGAGGAGGACTCAGACTCGGAGGGAGATGATGATGAGGATGATGAGGACGACGATGAGGAGGAGGAGAAGTTCTCTGATTCGGCGTCGGTGCGCAGCCTGCGACGCTTCGGCGGCAGAAGCGGCGGTCGGCAGAGGAGCTCGGGCGCCGCCGCCTCTGGCACTGCCACCACCGCCGACTACGGCAAGGTCGTCTGCGTGGACTACGCCGACAAGCGCGGCACCAAGACGAAGGAGGTCTGGTTCCCGGCGATGATCATCGACCCCGTCGACGTGCCCTCCTCCTCCGCCGCCTCCGCCATCACCCCCAAAGACCTGAAGCTGGCGAAGGACCTGGTCACCGTGCGGAGCTTTCGCGACGGCCGCTTCTACAATGTCAGCCGGCGGGACGCCCGAGACTTTCGGCTGGACAACGTTCGGGCGTACATGGAGGGCGGCGGGACGCCCGAGCTGCGCGTCGCCCTCGAGAAGGCGGGCGCATTTCTCGAGAGGGCAGAGCTGCCCGAAGGATGGACGATGCCTTCCGGTGGGGGAGGTGGTGGTGGTGGTGGTGGCGAGGACACCGACAACTCGAACATGGACAACGAGGACAACAACAGCAGCAGCAGTCAGATGACGAGCGGCAGCCAGCGCAGCAACAGCCGCGGCAAGAGCGCCCAGCAGCGACGAGCAGCGGGCAACAGGAACGCCGCCCCTCGCATCGGCTCCTCCTCCATCGCCTCGACGTCCTCCTCCTTTGCCAACGCCACGCCCTCCATCAGCCTGGCGGCACTTTGCGGCTCTTCGACGGCAGGCATCATCACAGTGCCGGTGGCGGAGGGCAACGACAATGCCGCCTCGACGCTGGCGATGTTTGAGAATGTGGTGCGCCAGGGGGCGGAGGCGATGGCCGCCTCTGCCGCAGCCTCTGCCTCTGCCACCGACGACGACCAGCACCTCGACCTGGAGGAGCTGCTGAGGGAGCTGGAGGTGAAGGAGCGCGAGGAGGACAGCGAGGAGGTGCGGGAGGAGAAGGCCCGACGGAGGGCGAAGATGGACGCCGACCGGGATGGCTTCGTCGGTCGCCTGCTGATGTTCCACGATGCGACGCGCAGTGGCGACAACGTCAGCCTGGAGAGCTTCCCCCGGATCAACGGCGTCGAGGTGGACATCTACCACCTCTACCTGATTGTCAACAAGCTGGGCGGGCCGAATCGGATGAAGAGCCGGCGGAAGTGGCTGGGCGCCTTTCAGTGCCTGGGCCTGCCGCCGCCGCCGGAGCCGCCGACGACGACGACGGCGACGGAGTCGACGACGACGCCGAAGCCAACACAGGCCAGCACCAGCAAAGGAGGAGGCGGGGGTGGCAGCAGCAACACCACGCCCGCCTACGAGACGTACCTCAGATTTGCAAGAGGCTCGGCGGGGGCAGCAGCAGCAGCAGCCGAGGCCGCCGATGATGACTCGCAGGGCGGGGGCGGCGGCAGCGGCAGCGGCAACAGCAGCTCCCTGGAGGAGGACATTCTGGCGCCGGAGGGGTCGCCGCTGTGGCTGCTGAGGGACGTCTACCACAAGTACCTGATGCACTTTCGAGACATTGACCGCAAGGTGGGCGGCGTGCAGACGACGGGCGGCCACTCACGGCGGAACACCTACCGAATGCCGGCGGTCACGATGCCCATGACCAACACGGCCAGCAGCAGCAGCAGCACCTCCACCCGAACACAGGAAAGTGTTGCGCAGCTGCTGCCGAGCATCACGGGAACTCCTCATTCAGTTTCAGCTTCTGCTTCGATTTCAGCTTCGCTTTTAGGCGGGCCGAGCACCTCTTCCTCTTCCACTTCAACTTCAGTTGCAACTCCTGCGCAAGAGGGCACGGCCCCAGGAGGAGAGGCCTCGACGACGAAGCCGACTCCGCCGGCTCCAGCGTCGACTCCATCATCTCGCAAGGCGCCCATTGCCGGCAGGGGCGACGCCGACTCCGTGATCACCTACTGGGGCAAGGAGACGGCTGTCGGGAGGGAGCCCTCTCCAAAGCGGAAGCGGCCCCCCGCAAAGAATTCCGATTTGGTCCCACCCAATTCAGGCGGAGGCAGTAAGTGCTTTGGATGTGGTTGAGTTGGTTCAAAGTAGGTCTAATCACCTTACTCTTTTTCTCTCATTTACTTTAAAGGATCTGCGAAGAAGAGCGAGACGAGTGTAAGACCATCAAGAGGAGAGCCTGGCTACGTCAGCCAACGACAGATGGTGGGCGGTAGGCTGCCGCGCCCTAGCAGCGACGAAGAGTCGAAAACGGAGACGGAAGCGGCGGCGGCGAGTGGTGATAATCGTAAGAGCATGGAACACAAATTTTGTACAAACACGTATTCTAATTCTTTCTTTTTCTCTCCCTCTCTTTCAGCACCGCCCGACGACCTGCAGTGGGGCTCCACGCTGAAGGTGATGTACGGAAAGGGCAGGGCGGGGACGATCTACGACGCGAAGCTGATTCGCTCGGAGTACGAGGGTGCGAAGCGCAAGTACAAGTACTACGTGCACTACCACGGCTGGAGCAACCGCTACGACGAGTGGATCTACCGCGATCGCATCTACATGGTCAACGAGGTGACGCCCACCGGCAAGGGCAAGGGCAAGCTGAAGGTCAAGGGCGTGCCCATGTCCACAGCTACTGGAGATAATGAGGGTGGTGGTGTAGGTGGGGGTGAGGACAGTGGCAGGGCTCGTAAGTAACAATTTTTTACATGTCAATTTCTTTGGTGGTCTGTTTACTAACTCTTTTTGTTTTATTTCATCAGGTGACCCGTCCACCTCATTTTCTGCAGGTGCCGGCTCTTCAGGAGCGAGCGCCAGAAGCAGCACCGCCGCCACCAGCAGCAGCGAGGCCAGCTCTTCAGCCCCCGCCTCCTCCACTTCCCGTTCACGTCGTCAGTCGGAGACGGCCTCCAGTGGATCATCGGTCTCGGTGGGCAGCTCCTCCACCGCCGCTAGCACCGCCAAAGAGCAGCAGCAGCAGCAGGCGCATCATCATCATCATCACCGATCGGCGTCGGTGTCGGGCAAGTCGGCAAAGGCTTCCTCTGCCTCTGCAACTTCTTCGTCGACGGCCACTGCTGAAGACGGCGGCTCAACGACTGCCAGCACAGTTCGTGGCCGAACGAGGACCTCCTCATTTTCTACTACTACTACTACTGCTGCTGCTGCTACGCCCAGCGCTTCAACTTCTAAGGACTCGTCGCGCAGTAAAACAGCGGCGGAAAAGACGACAGAGAAGAGCGCTAGTTCAGCGGCTTCTTCTACAACAACAACCTCGTCAGCGCCAGCACCGACCAGCACCAGCAGCAGCAGTGGAAAGCGAACTTCGATCAGTAGCTCTAAAACTTCGACAGCAGGCAGTGGTTCGAGCAACAAGGACAGCAGCACCAGCGCCAGCACTTCATCCAGCAAATCTTCGACCACCACCTCATCCACTTCATCTACGGCAAAGAGTGGTGATCGTGACAGCGAGACGCCCGAAAAAAGTAAAAGTAGTTCGGCCTCCACTTCGGCGACGCCGAGTAGTAAGAAGGGAACTTCAGCTGCTGCTTCAAACGCTGATAAGCAGTCTCGTGGCACTTCGGGCCCCTCTACCAGTGCAGCCTCGACGAGCAGTACTTCTGCCCCTTCTGCAGTTTCCACCTCTACCAGCACACCTGCTAAGGCTGCTGCTGCTGGAGGTGGCGAACATTCGAGCAGCAGTAGTAGCCAGAAGAAGAAGAGCAAGTCGGGCAAAAAGATTCGGCCGCCTGGCGAGGAGAAGCTGATTCCCCACAAGCAGAAGCACTATGTGATCAGGTTGAAGACGGAGGAGGAGGCGTTGGCGGCGACTAGAGAAGGTTTGAGTCGCAAAGATGGCGGTGGTGGTGGTGACAAGTCGTCCAAATCGGAGAAGAAGGTAAAGAAGAGTATGGACTCGAAAAAGTCATCATCATCGTCGTCGTCGTCGTCGTCGAAGGAGGGCTCATCAGCGGCTGCAAAGGCTGCCGCTGGCCCTTCTAGCTCTTCTGTAACGGCCACAGCCACGCCTGCCGGTGATGAGTACGACTTTGTGGACGACGAGGAGCCGCCCTCCAACACTCCGGGCACCTCTTCCACCACCCCTTCAACCAGCACCAGCAAAACACGAGCAGTGACGCCCGTCATCAGCACCCCAAAGAGCGCCACCAAGTTTACCGACCTGTCGGCAAAGAGGGCGGAGCGCAACAGGGACAGAGATCAAATGCCCAGAGAACGATTGGCGGGAGGGCTGCTGATGTCCACGCCTCCTCCATCATCAGCACAGACCAGCTCTCTAAAGATGTTGGCCAGCGGCGGCGGAAGTGGCAGCAGCAGCTCGAGGACTGCAACGGTGTCAAAGAAGAGGACGCTCGAGTCGGCGGAAGAAGAGGAGGAGGAGGAGGAGGAAGAGGATCAGGCGGAAGCATCTGAAACTTCTGAAGCTGCGACTACTCAGCCTTCAAAGACGACCAGCAGCAGCAGCAGCAGTGAACAGCCGCCAGCGAAGAGGCTCGCCACGAATACCGCCTCTTCCACTCCTTCGGCGGTGTCCCTGTCGCCACACCTATCACAGCCGGTGGAGCCGATGGAAACTGAGGAGGAGGAGAATGAGGGCACTGGAGAGCACGATCTGCCCCTGAACGACGAGGACGACAGCAGCAGTCAGGGCGGGCTGCAGCCTTCCGGGGAGGACCTGGAGGTGGCGGGCATCATGGCCAAGGCGGAGAGGGAAGTGGTGGCCAGTGACGGCAGGTCGGCTGATCCCACTGATATGGACTACCACCAACCCGGTGCTAATGTAGAAGATGATGATGATGATGACGATGATGACGACAGCGTGCGAAGTCTGGTGATGGCTGACCAGGGCGAGGATGAGGTGCCGCCTACAACGTCAGAGGGGGTAACCACTTCCAAAGAAGCTGAAGGTGAACAAGGTGGTGAGAGTGCTGGGCCATTGACTTCCTCAGCAGCGGCAGCAGAAGCTGAGGAGTCAAGTGCCGCCAGTTTGGAGCATTCTGCAGCGGCATCAGCCGCTGATTCGGCAAACAAAGTTCAGGAGGAAAACAAGTCGGCTCTTTCCAAGCAGCCTTCGCCCGCCCCTGACACAAGCAACAGCAGCGGCAATGAGCTGCTCTGCGAGGAGGCGTTGCCCGCCAGTCCGCTGCCGCCGCCGCCGCCTAGTGATCAACAGCAGGCAGTGACCGCGGCAGATCATCAGGCAGCAGGACCACCACCACCATCGTCGTCGTCGGTGAATCAGCCACCCCAGCCATTCCAGCATTTCGCCCATTTTCAGTCGTCGCAGCAGCAACAGCCGAAGACCGCCGCTGCCCTCAACAGCGACACTCAGGCGACGGCGGAGTTCCTGAGCACGCTGGCCGCCAGCGCTGGGAAGCACCAGCACCAGCAGCCGAATATGGGATTGCTTTTTCAGCAGCAGCAGCAGCAGTTTGGCTACTTGGGTAGCGGTAGCGGTACTGCTGCTGAGTCGTCGCAGAGAGCCTCTGGGCTACTGGAACACCAGCAGCAGCACGTACTGACGCCAAAGACGATGAAGGCTGCGGCAAGCGCCGCCGCCGCCGCCACCAGCACCAGCGGCGGATCGAACAGCAAGCCCGGTGTCATTCCGGCGACGATGACGAAGGCGCCGGCCTTCCTCGCCAACCTGCACCGAAACAATCCACAGCAGCAGCAGCAGCAGCAGTCATTTTCACTGCCGCCGCCGCCGCCGCACTTTTCTGGAGCTCTGGCGGCCACTGCCGCCTCCTCATCCTCGCCCTCCTTCTCCACCTCTTCCTCCGCCTCGATGGCCACCAGCTCGCTGACTTTTGGCCAGCAGCTTCAGCAGCAGCAGCAGCAATTGCAACAACAACAGCAGCAGCAGCTTCACCCGAATCCCTTCAATCAGCTGCTGCTGGCGGCTGAGGCCCAGAACTCCTCTGCCTCCGCCTCCAGCGGCCTGAGCTCCAATTCAAAGTCAAAGCAGACGAAGACGCTGAACTTTAACGTCCCGCCGGATATTGCCTCGAACATTATGAAGATGGGCACCAGCGCGGGCCGTGGCAGTTCGGGTAGTGGAGGTGGACAAGGAGGTCCCAGCAGCAGCAACAGCAGCACTGGCGCCACCAGCCGCCTGAGCCGAGAGGAGCAGGAGGCGGTGGAGGAGAATGACGCCGATGATGAGGACGCAGACGAGGGCCCTCCATCGAGCGGACGGAGAAATGCCTCTGATGATGAGGAAAGAGGGGGAGGGGGAATGGGCCATCACCATCGCTCTCACCACCACCACCATCACCATCACCACCATCATCGACGACAGGCGAAGCACCGCCGGCGAGCCTCCTCGAACCTCTTTGGAGACGGACAGGGCGGCGGCGGCGCCTCCTCGCAGGAGTCCTCGCCCCGGGGCAGCGGCATCTCCTCGCCCTCCTCTGCCCTGTCCGCCGCCTCTTCCTGTTCCTCCTCCACCTCCGCCGCCGCCTCGAAGAGGCTGCTGCAGCAGCACCAGCAGCTCTACAAGCCGCAGTCGAAGCATCTGAGCAGTAAGCTGGCGGCGATGAGGGCGGCCAAGGAGAGCGCGGCGGCTGCAGCCGCAGCCGCCGCCGCCTCGGCGAGGGCTTCTGCCAGCGCCAGCGCCAGCAAAATATCTCGTCCTGATTTGGAGAGCAACGATGCCGTCGACATGTCGCCCAGCAGCGGTGGTGGTAGTGGTGGACGGCATCAGCATCAGCAGCATCATCAAAAATCAAAGGATTCGCATCATCAGCAGCAACGGCTAATGATCAGCAACGACGAGAATGAGAACAGCAACAATAGCAACCACAGCGGCGGCGGTGGTGGAGGCAGCCATAGACAGTCTATGAGCCATCTTTCCACCGGTGGTAGTGGCCCAACACCTCCTCCCCCAGCCTCCTCCTCTTCACCCTCACCAGCGCCCACCACCACCACGACCACCACCAAGCGAATGAGCCTCTTTACGAAGCCCATCGGCACGCCGCCGCAGGCGGTCAAGCGCCGCCGAGGCGGCCGAGGACAACATGGCATTGGCACACGGTCCGCCTCACTCTCGGAGAGCAGGGACGACATCAGCAGCAGCAGCCTGACGGGGGCGGTGGGCGGCGCCAGGACGCCTGGCGGCGGATCTGCCACTGCCACGGCCACCACTCCAAAGATGAAGCGAATGCGAGAGCGCACGCAGGAGGAGGACAAGTCGAAGCGACGTAAGTGCCTTTTGTTTTGTTTTGTTATTCCAGTCACAGGCTAACTGTTAGGCAGTGTAGTGTTGTGCTCTAGTAGCTGATGATTGACTGCACTTTTACTTACCTGTGAGGAGAGGTACTCTCTCTTTTCTCTGTTCTCCCTTGCTAATTGCCCTACTTTTTCTCTTTTGGATCGATTCCCACTGCCACACCACCACAGGTCGATACTCTCCGCTGACTTTGGAGAAGCTCATTACTGCCGGCTACTGTCCGCCAGAGTTGAACGGCGGTGGCAGTAGTGAAACGTTGCCCAACCAATCGCAGTCGGCTGCAGCGGAGGCAGCTGCCGCGGCCGCCGCCGCCTCCGCCCCCTCGGTGCCCTTTGGCCACGTGCCGGGCAGCCTGCCGGAGCTGGTGGCCTACCTGAACGCCCACCCGCCCACGCGCAAGGACCCCCACCCCTATTACTACGAACTGTGGCTGAAGAAGCTCGGCCAGCTGGTGACGCGCAAGCACCCCGAGGTGGGCCCCCTGGACGAGCGCCTGCCGCTGATGGCGCGCATCTTTGAGCTGGACGAGCGGCTGGTCTATCTGCGCAAGTGGTACCTCCGGAAGGTGGGCAGCCTCGACGCCCTGGACCGGAAGAAGAAGAGGGCACTGCAGCGGAAGCGCGACAAGGAGCGCAAGCTGAAGGCTGAGGCGAAGGCGGCGGAGAGGGCGGCCGCCGCCGCTGCCGAGGCTGCCAACAGTACTCAGTCGGACGATGATGATGATGATGACGATGATGGGGATGACGATGAAGATGAAGATAGGGAAGAGGCAAGCAATACCGCCAACGACGAGTCGGCCAACGAGTCGGGCAGCGGCCACCGAAACAGCGGAAATAATGGAAACAGCAGCGGCGGAAGTGGCGGCGGCGGCGGCGGAAGTAGTAGTCGAAAGTCGATGAGGCGGCGCAATGGCAGCGGAAGGATGGCCGCGGTGGCTGCTGCGGCGGCCGTGGCAGCTGCAGCCGCCGCCGACACTGCCGACTTTCGAGAGGCGGCGGCCGAAGGCGAGGTCATCTAGACATCATCTCAAATAATACTAGTAAGTCCCTTTCCCTTGTACAAAAACTACCTCTCTCTCTCTCTCTCTCTCTCACTGTATGGTCACAAGACTACCTAGCCACAAGTTTACCCATTGTCTACAAGCCAACTACTCAATCACCACTGACTGACTGATAACTTGTTCTCTTTAACCCTATCTCCTAACTAACTATCTCTCCTGTGCAACGTTTCACTGTTTTTTAACTTTACTGTCTCAGTTACTACCTTTTCCCCCGTCTCAGGAGTCTCAGCACACCCTGTCTCCGATCAACTCTCATTTCAGCTTTCCTTCCTTCAGCAGTCCTTTTTTGTTTGAACTCTCAATCTCCTTATTCCCATTAACTATTATTATTTTCATAGCGACCCTTTCATTTTCTCCTCCTCTTTTAATCTCTCCCTCTCATTAATCTCTCACAAACTCCCACTGTGTTTGCTCCCCACACTCTCTTGCTTCCAACTCTCTTGAAATGATTACAATTTATGTTTATTTTAACACTGTTGATAACGCGATAGTGGGATTTGGGATGATAAGCGGCGAAGGTAGGCAAAAATGTGAAGAGAGAAATGTAAAATGAAGAAAGTGAAGTACTCAGAGAAAAGTACACAGTGAAAAGTGGGAAACCTCCTCTTTACGGTAGGATCTTGCAGATCATCACAGGAGGAGGAAGAAATCGGCTACGGTTCGAGAATAGTGGTGAAATCGAAGTTGAGGGGCGATAGAAACGTTGATAGAGCGGCGAGTGATAATCAATTGTGATTGCTGAAACCCAAACCATTCCTCAGCTCAGTTCAGGTCACTTCAGGTCAGGTCCTCAGCGGCCGGCGGAGCCGCACTCCGAGGGCGGGACGCCGTCCGTGCGCTGTCGCTTGCGCGCCTCCCGGCGGCGGTACTCGCCCTCGAAGAACTCCTCCACATGTCGCTTGGTGACCACCTCGCTGGTGCCGGCGAAGCGGTTGAAGAACTGCCCCAGCCGCGCCTGGAAGCCCTGCAGGTTCTGCATCAGCTCCACCTTGGCGACGTGCGGCAGACTGGCGAAGGCCGCCTCCTCGCGCTCCTCGACGCGCTTCAGCGAATTGGCCTCGTAGTAGCACGTCTGGTCCTCCAGGCTGGTGATGAAGGGTATCTGCTGCCAGTCGTACAGCGCCAGACAGGAGGGGCAGGTGCACAGCAGGTGACGCCACTGGCCGGTGAAGAAGAACGGCATCGGCTGGTGGTAGTCCTCTTCCTCCTTCTCCTCGGCTGGGGTCCTCAAAGAGTTGTTCTCCTTCTTCTCCTCCGCCTCCTTCTTCTCCTCTGCCTCCTTCGCAAACTTCAGGTCCTGCCAGGCGTTTCGATTGGCGATGAAGCTCGCCTTGAGCTTTACCAGCTTGCAGCTGCCAC